TTAAAAGGAACGCTCCCTATAAAGCACATGCTTCCATCTCTAATTTGAATATCTTACTTCTGTCAGTTGGCCGAAATTAATAAATGGTGGTATCAACCATGACAGACATGGATAAGCTTTATCTCCAATGATATAATCTTGATCCATAAAAAAAGATGCTCTATTTGCATTGACTTCCTTCCATAAATCTGAATTTCGTAAGACACGCCGATCTCCTACTGATCCAGCAAATCCAGCAAAGCAATCCAAGAATCGAAGTTCTGCATCGCACACTGCTTGCAATGTTATAGCATATTCTTTGTCTTTACTTATGTAGAAGCGTGCGTCCACCTACAAATGAAGTACTACATTCAGGTGGGATTTAACTTAAAGTTTGATAACGTTAGCAAACAAATTAGTGAAAACCGACTGTTCTAATGGGTAACTTTAAGTTATAGATAACTATATTTTATCTCTTTTAAATAAGTTATGAAAAAAGACATGAAGATAAAAGTTACCAATGAAATTAAAGTTACGACGTTAAGAAAACTGATCTTTATGATTCCTGCATACAAGCCGTTGCAAGCATTGTTTTGGAAATACTAATCTAAACAGTACATTTCTATGCAAATAGCGAATGGAATAGTAACGAAAACGGAACTAGGTAGAAAGTTAATCAATCCGTTTTAATGAATGATTCTATTTTAATTCTGTTCCATAAAATATTTGGTGATGAAGAAGCAGAACAGATTCTGATTGTTAGCTTTGTACTTAGTTTCCTTTTCGTTACGAGTTGAACAACGATTACTGCGTTCAGCAGAATTAATACAATAGTTTTGAGTGCTCGACGCTTATTTTTAATGTCAAAATAGGACACACGATCAAAATTAATGCTTGATATACTCGTCAATTTTTATCACACGACATGGAAGTCCGTATATAAGTAAAAGTATAGAATGAGTGAATAGACGTACAAAGTCAGATTGCTACCATTGATGAATTTCCAAATTAAACTATTTAATGTGATTGGCTGTGTTATAAATGGGATTGACATATTTCGTCTTGGGGTGATCCCGATTGACCACGGCTCGATTGGACCACCAATCACAGCGACCGGTGCTTAGGAGCTTTGTAGTCTCAAGCGCTGTGAGTGGGTCGTGTCCAATTGAGCCGTGTCCAACTGGGTGCCACCCTTTCGTCTTCAGTCGTTAATACATGGAAGTCCGCGTATATAAGTAAAAATATAGAATAAATGGATAGACGTATTAAGTCCGATTGCTACCATTGATGGATTTCCAAATTAAACCATTTAATGTGATTGGCTGTGGAATATATGAGATTGGCGTATTTAATCTTAAATCGTTAATACATGGAAGACCGTGTATAAATGAAAATATGAAATAACGTGGATAAACGTATAGAGACCGATTACTACAGGGTGGGCCATCTATTGGTACGTTTTTAAAAATGCGATCAAATGAGCATACATTGATATTTTTTATTAATTTTTTTTTTGTTGTGAAGCTAAA